AAAATAACAAGTCCGCAATTAACATGGATATATAAATTATGCAAAAATAGAAAAGAGTGAACTTTGAGGTCATGCTGTGCGACTTTGAAAGCCGTTAGAGAGATGAGTGGACGCATTTGAATTAGTAGTATACCAAGGTATCCAGTGATGTAATTTTACCCACAAACGGACTTGAAGTTTTTAAGCTAATTTTTTTTTAAACCACTTTTGTCCAAAAAAGCATATTTTTGACCCAAAATCAAAAACGCATTCTGAATATTTAAAATAAAGACAAGTTTCACAAAGTTTGTATAATAAGCTTTCAGAAAATATATAACATGTTGGATATATAATACCATCTTCATTGTCTAATTACTTAATTAAAAAGCAAGCCAAATAAACTGCATCTCTACCTTAAGCTGACACGTGTGTGATTACCGACAACATTTTTATCAATTGAAGCAGACGTGGATGGATTCTACTTCGGTGGTAATCGTGAGTGTCTGTTTACGTCAACAACAGAGAAAATAGCACCTTATTACATATTTATCACACGCATATATTTCTATAGTCTGAAACGGCGGAGTGTTCAAAGTGAAACACTTGTTGAAATGACACTGAATAGGAATATATCGTTATATATACACATGCCTCGTATGCTAATTTTGTTGATGTGTGATGATAATACAAGTTAGTTTAAAATTTTTTGAGCGACTGAATACTGAAAATAAACCTTGCCAACACAAACCATTTTACCCGGACGTATTATTCTTGTAGCAGGTACAGTTAAAAAAAAGTTTGGTAATATGTATTTTCACACTGTGAAGTTGCACACATTATGCGCATAAATAATTGCTTTGTATTATAACTATACACTTGTAAAATTACAAACTTGGCTACAATTTTATGCATAGCCACATCAAGAGGTTGTAAATGAAAACTTGAGATTGGTTTTCCAGCCACCCGAGAGGTCTGAACATTTTAAATTTAATACTGTTAAGTAAGTCATTCTGTGTAGTGCCAATTTTGCAAGTAAAAAAAGAATCATCTGGTGATGATAAACAACACTACGCAAATAGAAAGTAGAACACTCATGTGATTCACTGGTCAGCGTTTTTACTCTATTTTAGGTCACTTTGATGTACCAAACCTCCAGTTGTTAATAGTTAGGTTAAGTACAATGTAATTAAGGTTGTTTAGGAGAACGTGTAAGAAAGAAACGCCTGTTTACTTGCAAATAATATTGACTGTCATTATGATGACAGATTAATTATAATGGTCGTGTTCATGCTACACCTAGTACGGGCTATGATTTAAGCTAATCTTGTGTATTTGCATATCTGATAGACCAAATTGTTTCATGCACGAGAGGAAACATCGTTAGCATGAACTAACAAATGCCCAAACTTGTTAGGAATACACAAATCTTCTGTCCTTTCAACTATTATTACTCAGTACAGTATAACAGGAAGTGACACGGAGAATAATGTCGAGAACAATGTCCCTACATGTGCTCACGTTTATTATCTGGTTGGAAATATCATACCAAAATTAACAGTTATGAGTATAAAAGTAAATCTTCCAAATGGACATTAAATAAAATGGCATTTTGGATGCTTAGTCAAAGCTAAGAGTTCATACACACTTGGATAGCCTGTGCTAAGCATCTAGACTGGGTCTTAAAAACGGATCAGATTTAACCCGTACTCTGCGTCTCTTAGCCCATGCTAACTCTGCGTACCTCAACTTCTAATCTAATCTAATCTACTGAATTTAATCTAAACTGATTCACTGATAATTTAATTAAATGATCCCCTGGCTATGTGAAAAATAGGCATAAAAACACATTTTTAGCAACATTATTCATATAATTAACAATTTTCTTGGTGTATATTCAAAACTACAGAAGCCATATTAAAATTAACACCAATTTAACATTGACAAAATTTAAACCTTTATGAACAAGTATTTGCCTAACAATTACTGTGTGGTATCAAGTTTAAGAAATGTATAAGGGTTGAACATGAATGGTAGGCTCCAAAACAGCATTCATTAACCTTTTCACCACAAGTTCCCTCTTTTCATCACAAATTCACAAAATAGTCCTGTTTACGGAGTTTGCACTTCCTTTCAGAAGATCGAGACAAAAACCAAATTTTTTGAGTGAAGACTGAAAATTGACTCAGATTTTGTCTTACAATTTATAATTTGGCTCATAAATTAGGATTCATTTCTAGTAATAATGAAGAATACATGAAGAAAGTGCAGACAAATTTTAGCGAGAAAGTCTGGTGGGAAAAACGAACAAAATGGGCACTGTCTTGAATCAAATCGTAAAATTAATGGACATGAACATTTGTCACAGGATCTATTTATGAAGTGAAGTTTGAATATGAACAGTGCTGGCATGTCCGAGATATGACTGGAGACACATGGGCAGAGGTCAAACAATAGTTCACCGTATTCGGACTGCACTTGAACAGGGATTAACAGACATGGTAAATGCATAATATGGAATGTGGTTCCAATCAAAAGTAATTAAGAAGTGAACAATTCTTCCAATAAGTTTGAAGTTTTACCTTCGACAACTTTGATAACGGATCCATCAGTCAATCCTTCGATGCTGCGCAATTCAGTGAAATTATCGAGAACATTGCCGTCCATTTGTAGAGTAAAACATGTTCTATGGCATGTCTCTTCTTTGTCCATCAAGAGCTGGTGAAGTTCATGCACCATCTCCTGAGCACCAACCTTGAAAAATATTAACAAAATACACATTTTAACAGCAAATTGTTATGAGTCTTCCATCTCAAAAACCATTTTTTCTCGTCCATTCACAATAGACGTGTTTAAATACTGAACACCTCAGAAAACCTGAATACATTTTCCTGTGCTTTCTTTATTTACTCGCTTGATATGAAGAGATATTGCACCCCTCATTTACATACTTGAACGAATGCAGGCAATTGTATCTAGAACTGTGCAATGAGTAGTTTACACGTTTTAAAACTTCCAGGATTACAACCAGCCACTGCATACGACAATTTTTCTGGCGTCATTTGAATTAAATTTACGTATGCATCCCTTTTTGAAACAAAAATACTGGAGGATGGATGCAAAGTATACAAAATAATACATTTGCTGATTTCAGTTGACAGCTGAAAATCCCCTATGTTTTATTCATGCTTGGTGCCTAAACAAACTCTCGCCCAATCAAAATGAAAATTCTGGTGTAATATAGCTATTAAGCTTAAACTGTTCCCGGCCATTCTTTATGAACTTGCTCATACCTGTGTAAACCCAACAATTATCAAGGTTTGATTGGTGTTTTGTTACCCGAGTTACATTTTTTTCTTTCTAATGCATGGATTCAGTAACAAATGCAGACATGCTGTGTGTCAGAATACACAGATAGATCAGCATCTGATACAAGTTATTCTGAGCAGGATTTGCTGAACTATAAAACTATGCACATTATGAATACTCGGTACATACCAAAAACATATGACCCTGTTTTTAAAATGTGAGGGTTATGTGGTTAAAACACTGAAGACTCGGGATAGATCTACATCATAGAACGTTCTACTGTAAAATAATTTATTTTCACTTAGAATTAATTTCTGCTGAAGGAACGGTTCAGTGAAAATAAAATCAAGCGAATATTCTTTTTTTCCTATATTTCACATTCAACTCGCCAAAAAATCAGTGAAAATAAAATCTATACAAAACACCCAAAAAGTCTTTAGTGAAAATTAATTTCAGCTAAAATAAAGTATTTCACAGTATGTTGCTAAGACGTGCACCACTGTACAATGCATTTCTATGGGCTCTGTGCACGCCGCTGTGGATACGACTTTGTGCAAGCCGCTGTGGATACGACTTTGTGCAAGCCACTGTGAATACGACTTTGTGCAAGCCGCTGTGGATACGACTTTGTGCAAGCCGCTGTGGATACGACTTTGTGCAAGCCGCTGTGGATACGACTTTGTGCAAGCCGCTGTGGATACGACTTTGTGTAAGCCGCTGTGGATACGACTTTGTGTAAGCCGCTGTGGATACGACTTTGTGTAAGCCGCTGTGGATTCGACTTTGTGTAAGCCGCTGTGGATACGACTTTGTGCACGCCGCTGTGGATACGACTTTGTGCAAGGCACTGTGGATACGACTTTGTGCAAGCCGCTGTGGATACGACTTTGTGCAAACCGCTGTGGATACAACTTTGTGCAAGGCACTGTGGATACGGCTTTGTGCAAGCCGCTGTGGATACGACTTTGCGCAAGGCACTGTGGATACGACTTTGTGCAAGCCGCTGTGGATACGACTTTGTGCAAGCCGCTGTGGATACGACTTTGTGCAAGCCACTGTGAATACGACTTTGTGCAAGCCACTGTGGATACGACTTTGTGCAAGCCGCTGTGGATACGACTTTGTGCAAGCCGCTGTGGATACGACTTTGTGCAAGCCGCTGTGGATACGACTTTATGTAAGCCGCTGTGGATACGACTTTGTGTAAGCCGCTGTGGATACGACTTTGTGTAAGCCGCTGTGGATTCGACTTTGTGTAAGCCGCTGTGGATACGACTTTGTGCACGCCGCTGTGGATACGACTTTGTGCAAGCCGCTGTGGATTCGACTTTGTGTAAGCCGCTGTGGATTCGACTTCGTGCAAGCCGCTGAGGATACGACTTTGTGGAAGCTGCTATGGATACGACTTGGTACAGTCAGATGGACACACGAACGGATGGACACTGATAACTACCACAGAAAACATCGCTCACTGTTAATAACATTCAGTGATTAACACAAATTAATTACCTGCAACTCAAAAGGATCACATCCCGGTGCTATCACCTTGACAACGTAAAACTTTTCATTGATGAGAAATGGACTATCTAAATCTTTCTTGTCTTCAGACTTGTCTTCCGTTTTCTCCTCATTTTCAATCTTATCAGCTTGATCAGAAGAAGAGGAAGGCGTATCACTACCACCTAAGAAAATGAATCACAGAAATAATGATTGCGAGAGAAAGCAATACAGATAACTAGTGTATATAAAAGAGAATAGGAAAGAAATCTAAATTTGAAAATAATGAACTTTTGGTCGTTGATATGGGTGATGCCAAAAAAGACATTGTTTTACATCTTTGTGCTTCTACCTGCTATCATTTTATTAGAGACTTGCTTCTACTTGAGCATACACATATGGTAATTGCATCAGTGAGTCTAATATACCTGTAAATGCAGTAATTATTCACTGGGTTTTAATTTCGCTATTTTCGCTTTTAAGGTAAAATTCGCTACCATTCTGCTCAGTGGAAGGAATTTGCTCACATCTTTAAAGTGCGTGTGAAATGCCCACCTACACGTTTCCTATTTTAGATCTGTGCCCCACTGAAATATGCAGTTACTGATTTTTTTTGCTGAAAAAATATAAACATAAAAATTAACAATATTGATGAACCTATGAATGATTTTAGGCTGGAAAATAGCAGCCATTTTACAGGCACTTTAATGATGAAGGCTATTTCTGAAAAATTGGTTACAATAAACAATATTGTGAACTGAGACAAAACACTCGACATATTTAGAACCAAAAGATTGTCAATTTTTATTTTAAAATCAAAGAAAGCTTAGAAAGAACTCCCGTGTGCTGAGAGTATTGGAGACACATTAACAATTAATTCAAAATGGAAACGCAGAAAACCAATTATGAAAATAAGGTAACTAATATTAACAGATTTAAGTGTAAAACTAATAAGGTCTGCACAATGTACCAAGTTTCATTGAAATGTGATTAGAACCAAAAAATATTAATTATTATGCTAATTAGAGAATTAATATGAACAGATTTT